AGCTCTTTCTACATAACTGGTTTCCAACCAAGTTCTTTCTTTGTTCTGGCCAATGGAACTTGTACCGTGACACTGTGGATGCCATAAGAAATTCGATGCTGAAAATTTGTAAATTTGTAGGAGTGAAATTTTCCATACAGATCTGCTGGAAAGTGTAGTATGTGGAAGAGCATTTATTTGTTTACTTATTTATATGTAGGGAAATTGATCGTATTAGAAACCTTACTGCAAGAGTTAGCTTTGTGTAGGCATGTAAGAGAACAAAATAATGAAGCATGAATGCCTAATCCAAGTCAGTTCAAAACTTGGATGATCATTATAAATTGATTCTTAATTTTGGGGCCTATCTTTGTCTGTAGAATATTCATTCTGAATTATTCATCATGAATAAAAATAACAAAAATAATAAAAATAACTGAAGAAAATAACAAAAATAACTGATGAAAATTATGAGATAATTTGAAAACACCAGAAAAAAAAATATTGTAAAATTTGTTATAAAGCTACTAACTGTTTGATTTTCTGAAATTGTGTTTTTTCAAGAGGTGCCTGAATCAAAGGCAAAAGACAGAGGTTAGAATTTGTTTAATCACTTAAATAATGTAGAGTGATATTTTTAAACTCAATTCCTTGAAACCAAACACAATATGTCAATCTATTCAATGTTTATTAGTTTACTGAAAACTAATATACACTTCTGAGGCTTTCAAAAATATTTGTCTTTGAGAGTATTTGATGCATTAGTGCTTTACAAAAGGTGGGACATCTGTCCCACAAATTATTTCTAAGTGAAGACTGAAACTCTCAGTGTGTTCAGCAAGACATGAGAAATTTATGTAATGATCTAATAAACTTTTATCCTACCTTGATAAAATTATAACAGAAAAAGCTTCTCTGCTGACATTAACTGAGGTTACTGTAGATAGTTTTCTTAAAAGCAGACTGGAGGCAATCATCAAGGAGTAAAGTTCCATCTACCACAAGCAAAGATTTACTTTGCCCATCAAAGGTTGAAAAAGGATAGTGCTGTAAACAAGTTTCATTTAAAAGTCTCCATTACTCTCAGTTTGCTGAAACTTTTCTTCATCCTGGTTATCCTCTGTCCTTAACTAAAAAAATTCTTTTTTTATATTATTCCTGGAGAACTCCAGTCCAGTAATTCAGTGATGTAGTCTCCTATGTTTCTCTATATACTCATATGTCTGTCATAACTTTCATCCTGGAGTCTAACCAGAAAAAGCCCCTTGAAAACTGTCTGTTAAAAGATTTAAAATCTGAATTGATCCATCCTATGCACTTTTATCTACCTTTAATATTGGTTTCAGGAACAAAACAAACAAAAAACCAACCAATATAGTCTGCCTATTTAGCAGACACTGGAAAATAATAAATGAGTCTACAATAACTCATTTGGCAGATTCTTTGACCAATGACTGGAACTAATGGGTTCAGTGTTGGAGTTACTCAGCAAGGGTTCCCTTCTATAGGTTTCAAGGTATAGCAAAGGAGCATTGACCTTGCCTCAAAATTAATTGTAGAGCAGAAATGTGTGAGTAAACATACTTATTGCTCAAGGGAACTGGAAGGACACTGGTGTGAGGACTGAGGACATTGCAGACAATATTCTTGTAATTTGCAAAGAAGGCCTTCAAAATTTCTTTTGCTTGTATATGGTATATATTTGATTGAACATGATACTTTTTGAAAATGTCAGGCTGAAATTCTTGGTTTCTTATTCACAAAAAAGAGACTTATAGTTGAACAGGACAGTACTTGCTTCACCTTTATGTCTAAAATAGGCTGGCTGCTGACAAAATTAGATGTTTGGGAAAACTGTTTTGTATAACGGTTTAAATCTGGATGCTGTTTAGTCAGAGAATATAACTCAAACATGACTGTCTTGCAACAAGTATGACAGCAAAAAAAAAAAGCTTGATGTTTTCAACAACTCTAAATTTATTTTCACAGGGCAGGAAAGGTTTTAAGAGCATGAACAATCTTTCTTTGTTGGAAGTTGTACAAGTACAATTTGTATGAGCAGTTGACAAGGAGTAGAATTTCGTCAGCCGTTCCTCTATGGCAGTGAGAAAGACTTAGCAGAGAGGTTATATGGGTTGTTTGGCCTTTGGCTTAGACTATGTGGTATGATGTTTTGCATTTAGTTTGTTTCTTTGTTTGCTTTGGTTTTTGCTATTGTTTGTTTTGGTTTTATAAATATTATTTATTTATATTTTTTTCTGATTTTCAATGTGCCAAATCTACATTGTCTTCTGTTTATTCCTGACCACACTTTAAAGTCTTTCTAGAGGGTGGGTAATTCCAGAACTCAGTAATAGGATTTTTTTAATGACTAGCAAGCCCAGGAAGCATTGATAAAGCCTAAGGTAAACAGCTACATCTGATCTGTGGAAAGATATAGAAGCCTTTAGTCAATGGAGAAAAATATTTAAGGAAGTGATGCACAGCTATTGATAAGATGAGTAATACAATAAAGTGCCCTTTTTCTGCATTGTTTGGAAATAGAATATAGCAAGAAATGTTCAGAATATAAAGAGATCTAATTTAGACAAGAATCCAAGCCTTCATATCTCATACCGTAGTTCAAAAATATATATTACAGGTACAAGTAAGTAAAAGCTGTAGAATAGATTATGACAGAAATGTATTATCAGTGTGGTACTAAATTTTCATATAAACTATATTAAAATTATTGAAAACATTAAAAGAAAATTAAAAAATTAAGGCAAATTAAAAATACCTAAGGACAGAATTAAGTTGCCTAAGTATATGTGTCTGGTGCCATTTAAGATGTCTTGGGGTAAAAAATAGGAACAGATTTTATGTTTCTTGACAATTTAAGCAAATGAATTTTACTCCGAAAGTTTATGTTCACACAGTGGGATTTTGTTCTAGAGATGAGGTTCAGCTTGCAAATTGAAACATTTCATTATGCCTCAGCCTCATTTTACCCAATTTAGATATGGTCACTAGGACATGACATAAAATAGTCAATGGAGTCTGAACAACAGTACATCTTCATAAATTTAGAACTTAAATTCAGCAGGCTAAATAGCTTTCTAGATTTCATTGAATTTACTCACTAGGTCTACTGCATATGGATATCCTGATTGAGAAATTTGTCTTTTCCTGCTTAATTTGAATGCCTTGGATAACACGGATTTTCTCAAATGTCTTTTAACACCAACAGCCCGAAAACTGAATCAAGCTTCTAAATTTCTCTGAGCTGTATCCCATAGGAAAGTGTTATGGATACTCAAATGATCAAAGATATACAATTTTAAATTCTAATTAAACAACAACAACAACAACAGAATGGATGTAATTAAAATATTTTTTTAAATAGAAGAAATCTACTGCTTTTTTTCCCCCATGTGTTGTTTTCATATGTTTCTAACTGTGCTTGTTTTTTCTGTGGTAGATTTAACTTTCTTCACTGTACATGCTCTGGGGCTATGTTTTGGATTTGAGCTAAACACAGGACTGATAATGTAGAGATTTTATTTTATTACTGAGAAGAAATTACACAGAGCCAAGGCTTTGCTTATTGCTACGCTGGTGAAGAAGTTGGGGGTGCCTGGGACATTGGGAGTAGACACATTTGGGACAAGTGACCCAAGTTAAACAAAGGGATATTCCAGACCATATGACAACATGCCCGGTACATACAAGGTGATGGGGGGGGGGGGGGTAAGGAGGAAGGGGAAGATATTTGGAGTGATGGTGTTTTTCTTCTCAAGTCACCAGTACACATGACAAGATCCTTCTCTCCTGGAGATGGCTGACCACCTGTCTGCCCATGGGAAGCAGTGAATTAATTCCTTGTTTTGCTCTCTTGGTGTGTGAGGATTTTGCTTTCCTTATTAAACTATGATTATCCCAACCCACAAGTTCTCTAGCTTTTACCCTTCCAATTCTATCCCTGATCTTGCTGGTGGGGGAATGAGCTGTGTGGTAATTGATTGTTGGCTGGGGATTAAACCATGACACTAGCTAATATTAAAAAGAAATCCTGAACTTTAGTTATTGCTTCTCTTTAAATCCACCAAAAATAGAAATAGTTACTGGTATCAATGACAGTTTGACTTTGTATCTGAATATTAAGTGAAGGTCATATATATATATATATATATATATATGTTTATAAGCGAACATTAGTGACAGAAAAAAAAATGGATTTTTGAACCTATGGTATTGGTATCTAAAATGACATATTATAAAGGAACATATCAGTCATATATATATGCAAATTAAGTCAAACTTGATTTTTGCAGTGATATATAGACAACCTAAGCAGCAAGTAATCAGAGGCATATGAATAGGTTTCGATTTTAAAAGAAACACCTTTTATTTTGCCATACACTTTTCATATTCTCTTATGATTTTCTGTATATCTATGTTGCAATAAAGGTGTAAAACCATATGTGTGTTCATCTGCTTTGACAGCACGATAAGAATGTCACTCTTCTCACAAAATAAAACTAATGCCACTGCTCATATGAGTCCTTTTCCTTTTAAATTTGTCCTACCATATGCGTGTTGTATGTTTGAAAGAGGAACATAAGGTACACAAGTAATAATTCTGTTGTGTTTGAAGAAAAACTATTGTATTTGAGTACCACTTAGTCCTGAGAAAATAATCATGTTCCTTTATGACAATGGACATGAAAACAGTCCAAGTCCTTTATTCATAATATCACTTTTCTTTTTTCCTAAAATATTTGTCTTCCTCTCAAGATGTTTAGAAATTTGCTTAATCACAAAGGCTACCTCCAAAAGTGTTGAGCTCTCATTAAAATTCCATATTTGAATTGCGGGAGAAAAAGATGAGTCTGTATATGGGAGGCAGTTCTTTTCATTTCTTCAGCTTGGCTGATCTGTCAGTCATCCTGAACATCTTGGTTTCAATGTAAGACATAAAAAAATCTACAGTATAGGCATGAGTGTCCATATTTTTAACAAATTGAAAGCTAAAAATGTAAATGTAGCATTTGCAGCTAAAATCAATGGAGGCTTTCAAATGGAAAAGAACAGAAAGAAAGAACAGGGAAAGAACAGGGTCCTACACTGGCTGGTAAGTAGACAGACATCTGTAACAATTCAAATATGTCTAGTTTAAATTACTAAGACACAATCCTTAGAATTTGCACAGATAGTTATACCTCTTAAATTTAAAAGGACTTGAATGTGAAGGTTGTTTCTTACTGGTTTTGAATAACTCTAATTGTGCTACCTGCATGGAATTGGTCCTAAATGCATAGAGGTATTCTGATGTAGCTTTTTTTGGTTTATTTTTTTAAATATCCTTACTAATATTAAATCAAGTTTTTAGAGCCTCAGATGTCTGTAATCTAAATATAAGTTGAATGTATAAATACAGAAATCCTTTTATTTAGTAAGTGACACCTAATGACTAGCTTAAGCATTGATAACTCTTTATAAGGACTGTAGCATTTACAGAGTTATTTTTATTTCTTATCATTTGCTACTCCATTTCTCCAGTGTAGCAGATTGCATCAAATCTTTAGGTCCTGATTTTGACTCAGTTTAAATTAAAAAAAGTGAATATATATAGGGGATGGGAAGGGCATATCATGAAAAGATATAAAAAATTATAATAAACCTTTCCAAAAAGACTATAAAGTTGCTGAAAAGCAGAATATGAAATGTGGATTAAATGGGCCAGACTGCTTGTTCTTTAGTGACCTCTGAAAAAATTAAATGTGCAGCCAAGTCAGGAATTAAATAGATCTTTGTCTGCTGTCCAAATGGACACTCTTATTGATTCTGCTTAGATATTTTTGTTTAATGTTCCAATTATCTCCCTTTGCAGCTACATAAGAAAGATATAAGCTATTTCTACAGTTCTAAATGCATCCACCCAAGGGAATAATTGCTGGCTCCAAAGTGGTGCAGATTGCATCTACATACCCTGTTTAAGGCTAGATCTCCACAGAACAGTTATGCCATGGCCAAACAGCATTGCACTTGGGCCTCAGCCCCTTTGGGCTGCCACAGGATACCAGAACAGTTTAATAGATGGAGGGTTTGTTTGTTTGTTTGTTTGTTTTTGATGAAGTTATTTGTTTGGGTTTTATTTGGTTTTGTTTATTTGTTTCTGTTTTGCTTTGTCAGGGAAGAGAGAGGTGGGGACACTGATTTTAGTTGATACTATCTGATATAATATGGCAGCTTTACTGGCACTTGAGGCAGGTGTATATATATTACAAGATGAAAATAAAAGTAGATGTTTCATGCTCAGTAATGTTTCATTTGAATGTCTGGAGACATCTGAGAGTGAAACACATGCAGGAGAACCTTTCAGGACAGGGCAATATGAACAAATGAACCTGGTTTAAGGTTGTATATCTTACCTTTTATATATAAATTCCTGAAGAGATATGTTACAACAGCACATGAAAAGAGCTTCCTTTTTCTAGCCTTATACCTGGAACTTAATATATATAACAATCAATCAATTACTTAATTGATTATAATTTATAATTTATGATTTCTGGTGGCCAAGGCCCTGTGTTGAGACAGAGAAGGGGCTAGGTGATTGTTTTAAATAATTTCTATTATAGTATTGTCAAAAGCTTCTGACTTCCATTTATTGAACATAACTAAACTGATCTTTATCTAATTCTTCAATTTATTTTGTCAGCAGATTTAGGTTTAGAAAATAAATTTCTTCATTTAATTTAGTTGAGATGCATTTTATCTGTTCCAATTTTTGGCCACTAAAAGTTCAGTGCATACGCTTAAGCAAGTTAGATAAGGCTCACATTGTAGACAGAAATGAGTGTGTTCAAAGGGTAGATCATTTGACCTACTTAGCTATTCACATGAAGAATCTTTCTAGGTGTGCAATTTTACCAACATTGATTACCTTACTCAGGATTAGATATTTTAGATCCCTAAAGACAGTATGGCAAGGCATTAGACCTTTATCTATTTGTTTATTCATTTGTTTGCTGTGTTGCATGTTAAACCCAGGTTGTTTACATTCTGCAGAAGAGATATATGAATAATCTAACATTTTAAAAGAAAGCATAGTAACTTGTTATTTATAAAAGGATTACATTATAAGTATGTTTTTTTTTTTCTTTTACTCCTTTTGGATGGTTTCTGTGGCCTCCTGGTCCTTGGAGACATTCTTTTTACCTCCTTTTTTTTCTTAAACTGTTTTAACTAAATTCAAATACGATCAAGTTGGCTTTCTCCACCATAATGCTTTGGAGGCAATTTCCTCTTCATTTTAAATTTGTCACTAGGGAAACCTTTTTCTTTCTCTCAGCCAAACAGATGGTTTATATTTTCATTTTTTATTTTTTCAGTGTTTCCACTAAAAAGGTCAAGATCATCCTTGGAAAAATGAAGTTCTGAATTTTCTTCCACTATCTAAAAATAAAAGCGTATAGATTTTTAACATCCTACAGGTTGTTTCTTTTTCTTCTCAAATAAAACTACTCATAGATGACTTTGGCCCTTGTCATTGTAATACCTGAAATTCTACAAGCTACTAATGAGATTGTCCTCTGACCTTGCATGTGAAAATTCTTGGACAGCCTTGAAAGGAAAGAGTAGATTTTGGACTGATTAAAATTAAACTTTATCTTGAAATCAGGGAAGAAAGCACAAGGTAGATTAAAATACTTTCTCCAAATTTCACTGAAGGTTTAGTCATATGAGCCAATAATAATAGTCTAACAATTTATAGCAGCGCATAGAAATATGAATGTGTACAGCTGTCTCATTTCACTTGTAGTACATGTTGATTTATTTCTAAAGTGAAATACTTGATGCCTATACAAAATTGCAGCATTTTGCATTTAAGATAAACATGCAGGAATATGCATGTGTACTGACAGTTACATGTCTACCAATGTTCTGTAATTTTTTGCTGTTCAAAACTGAGTTTTAGTATTATCATGATTTTCTCTATCAATTGAAGAGCAATATTAGTAACAGAATTTTTTATTAGTCTACCACATAGAACAATAGGAAATAATATCAAATTGTTCCAGGAGAGGTTTAGACTGGATGTTAGGAAAAATTTCTTCACTGAAACGGTTGTCAAACATTGAAACTATCTGCCAGGGGAAGTGGCTGAGTTTCCATTCCTAGAGGTGCCATGAGCACATGTGGCACTTAGGGACATGGTTTAGTGGTGGACTTGGCATTGCTGGATTGGACTTCATGAACTTACAGGTTCATACCAACCTAAATGATTCTGTGATCCTACAATTCCATTCATCTGGTTAATCACACTGAATTTTAGGAATTTGTGTCTTCTCATCACATGCATTCCAGTCACTGTTCCAAGCAAGACTGGAGATTCACAGGAGTATCAGCCTTTGCTTAAGAACTTCAGACTTGTTCCAGGTGGACAACTGTAGGTCCTCTAAATTTTATTTTCTGTGTATTGTGTATTCCATCAAAATGTCTCTAACTGAACTAGATTGTTCTTACAGAAGGTTCCTTCTTACTGAAGATTTCTGTTCCTGAAGTTCCTGAGCTACTATCTTGACATTCAGGCACTCAATGTCTTGAAAATCTGCTGAAGTGTACTATTCTTTAGTGTATAGGTCTGACTTGGTAAATGCATAAAAGAGCTTTGCTTCTGGATTTGTAATTACATGAGCTGGAATACAGTGCTGGAGATTATTTGCTCACTGACCCCAGTCCATTAAGCTCTTTCAGTGTTGTTTCCTCCTCAATTATGGCATTTTCCATTTTCATGCTCTTATTTCCATCAGCCCCTTGACTTCGCCTTCATGAACTACATCATTTGTAGTTACTGAAATCTGCGTCAAGGGTTTTTTTTGGCAGTATCTAAACTAACTTTAATCTCTGCCCCTATACTTGCTGAATTACCACACCACTTCCTCTTTCTTTGTTCTCTTTTTTTATTTTTGTGGCTAAAAATCTTTTTACTGTTTGTTTTAATTTCCTCTGCAAGGTCCAGCTCAGCTTGATAGTTGGCAAGTCTTACTTTTCTCCTACATATTCTGACCTTCAAGACATATCTTTCTATTTAGTCAGTCTGTTCTTGCTGTTCCACATAAACTCCCAACTTACTCCAGTAAATGCTTTTTTTTTTTTGTTTTTTGCACTGATGTGATCAAGGTCAAAAATGGGTAAATGGATATCTATTTTCAGCAATACAGCATTGGCCCACATCTCAACAGCTGCAGAGAAAGATCACAAAGAAGACTTTATTCACTCCTTGGTTACCAAATGATTCTCAGCATGAATGAATAGTTATCTAGTTAGGTCTTGTATATTTTCCTCTCAAACATTTTCTCTCTACTTGTAGTACACGTATTGGCTTTCAATCTGTGATTTAAAGTAGCTCCAAGATTCTTTTTCAGACAAGCTTTTAAACCTTACAAATCCTCTCAACTGTCACTGATTTCCTGATTTTTTCAAGAATTTTGTTATTAAAACAGAAAGTATTAAAAAATATATTTGCTTTTATTTTTCTTCATAGTATAACTTTACCATAATCTGATTATCATTATTTAATTCAAGATATTTTTTCTTTTTCCAGTTGTATATGAGTTTTTATTATGTCCTGGTCATGAAGATATCATTGTTTCTGATGGTTTTGTTATGTAAAAATATTGGAATCACACAATTTTTTTGGAATATGGTCTTCAATCAATATGTATGGTATAGCAACATTGTATTATTCTTGATACTATATATTTGAGTACCAATCAGAGTATATTTGGTATGATTGGTACTCAAATATCAAGGGTATATACTACACTCTGATTATTAGTAAGAACTTAATTAAAATATGACCCCAGTTTTTCAGAATAAATTAAGAAACCTCTTTCTAGAACTTTTTAGTGCCTTTCTGGAGTATTTCTACTCTGTTGTCAAGATTTCCTTTTCCCTCCATCTTTGTATTATTAAGAGAAAAGATAAAAACTTTCCATGTTGTTTACTTCTCTAATAAATCCTTAACAAGATTGTTGACTGGATAACCTCTCTGAGAATTTATTCACATGTTCCTTACTTTGTTCCATCAGCATGATTTTTATTGCTTCTATATTTGAAAAATCTACCTTTGAAAAAGCTACCTCCCAACAGAGATAATGCACAACAAGTACACAACGCTCACTTGTCCTACAGGTCCTCTTGCCCTTCCTACTTATCCCTTTCTTATAATGGAGAAATCCTTGGCATCCTTGTTCTTCCAGTAACCCATGTGCCCTGATTTCTTCTGCAAAGACTTGAAACCAATTAATCTAGAATCCAGGTAATATTCCATTTGTGATCTTGCATTTTAGGATTCTTGAACATTCACTTTTCAGGAATTTACTTGTGTAAGATATGAATTATTTTTTTCCAGCTCTTACAGATCTATTGTTTACTTAATAAACAGAAGGGCATGAAAAAAAATCACTCAAAACCCCAAAACAATAGTATTTTTATTCTTTCCTCCTCCTGCATTCTCCTTTCAAATTCAGAATCATACTCTCTGTGCTAATTAAAATCAAGAAATGATGCTACAAAAACTTTAGTAAACTAAGAATTTAAGCTCTGCAGCAGAGCATAACCTTGAAGTAGCCTCTCAAAGTCCTATTCTTATTCAAAGTGGGGTTTTTTTTGTCATAAAATATTGAAAAAGAAGAGGGAATAAATCTTAGACTCTATACCTAATTTAACAAGTTACATGTTAAATAGTCTTCACTCAGCAGAAATGCTATGACAGAGACATTATTTAGTGATTTATCTAATGGCTTAAAAATCCTGCTAAAAAGAGCTCATATCAAAGGTGATGAATGAAAATGTTCAAAATGTCAGCTTTAAAGTGACCCCTGTTTGTGTCTTTCTTAATCAGAGTATTAGTATAATGCAAATAGATAATTTTTTTTCAGTGAATGAACTGTCTGCAAATTCATTTATGGAACCCTTTAGTAAATTTCAAAACATGTGATTTATATTTAAAGAGACATTACTTAAAAAAATATTCTTCAATTTCAATCCTTTTGTTTTTTTTAGTTCTACAAATGACATTCGGGATGGTTTTGTATATCCTCATTTTAAAACTGAAATTCTTTGACTATTTTGCAGCACTTATTTACAGCAAAGAATTCTTTGCAGCTCTTCCTGTGGACAGAGAGCATGAGCAGATGGTGTCCACTCAGCCTTGCTGTGAGTACTTAGTTACCCCATTAGGGATGGGTAGGTCAGAACAGGTCAAGTGCACTGTGAACCATACTGATCTCTAGTATAACTGCATATAGGAACTGTACAGAAAACCTTGCTTTCCTGTGTAATGTCAGGACCTGGGAAAAGTTGCTGAGGTTTTTTCTCATCCTTTTTTACATCCCAGTAGATCCCCTGGGCTACTTTACCATGTCACATAAGAACACAACAGTTTGGCCTTGGGTGAGTCCTAGATTTATGCCTAAAAATATTTTATACACACACTCGTGCATCTGCATGTCTGATATATGCTTATATAAAGACATATGGTAAAATTATTGCTATGACTAAATTTCTAGGAAAACTGCTACTATGCTACAAAATTATTTTTTAAACAACTCCTGTTTATGTGCATGTGGCATCAACATAGAAATAATAGAAGAAAAAAGTCTTAAAGAATGAAGAATGAGAGAACAGAGCTGATACATGCATACACATATACATACATACATATATATATATACACACACACATATATATATATATACACACATATATATATATATACACATATATATATATATACACACACATATATATATACAAGCTGATGGAGAAGTGTAAAATTGAAGACACCAGAAATTATTTTGGAAATTTCTAAAATTTAAATTGATCTCTTCCTGCCTTAGTAATTTTTAATTTGAATGGACTATCTATAAATGCATTATTTAAAATAAAAAAGCAAGTAAAAACAACAGCCAAGTAAATTTTAATGCATTGGTACATCCTTGCAAACAATCCAGAATCTTGTACATTTACATCTGTCCACAAGGATTAGGTGAAAACACTTTATTAAACCATGGTTAAGGTTATGTTATTCAAAAGTTAGAATTATGTTTGCATGAAAACTGTTCAATGATTCTTTATACTCATATTGCCAAGAACCACTCAAAATGGTCTTTTTTGCAAATAACTTACAGTTAGCCACATCAGAATTGGCAGGATTAAGCTAAATTATCTTTTGATATCTAAAGTCTTATACTTCCAAAGTAATTCACTGGCAGAGACAAGAAGTTAATGTCCAGGAAATTCACATGCATTCCCAGTGGCAGCAAATCTTCAGGGCAGTGAGCATGGGAAATAAAGAATTCTTATTTGTGTTTCTTCCAGCTTCTTGCCATGTTTCCTCATCCCAGCCAGAACTGCACTGCTAAAGATTCCACAGTGGCCAGTGAAAGGATGAATGGAATTTAGTTCTCTTTTGTGAGCTGTGTGGGGAAAGAGAAAGGACACAGTAAAGCTTTTATTGACCCAGCTCCAAATCCAGTGTGTCTAACTAGGAAATTGTTCATTCAGATGGAAGCCAAAAAAGTGTCTATGCCTCAATGCGGCTGAGACAGCAAAATCAATTCAGAAAACAACAGATCTGTTTAGTAAGGATTCAAAGGAAGAAAGTGTACCTAAAACAATAAATAATATACACAATAAGGCATTTATATGGCATAATATTTTATTAAAGTGTCAAAAAATAAAAAATCCATCAGCTTCTACCAACACTAGCTTTTCACAGGCCAAAAGGCTGAAGTGATTTTAAAAATTTAAAAAAGCTACCTTAAAGGGCTGAAAGACACATGAATTTGCTGACTGCTTTCCATGTAAAAATTATTTTGCCATGATTTCTGCCTTGCTTACATTGTAAAGAATACTTATAAAGCCACAAAATCTAAAAATGCTCAACTCTTTTATATTATCCTTCTAATCACAACCCTGGGATTTTTGCTGCATACAGCCTTACAGCTCAAGAGCAAAGCACAAGAGTGATGTTGACCTCCATAACGTTTGGCTGCATAACTGGTCTTTTAAAATCAAGGATGTACCTGAATATGCTTCTAGTCCAAACTTTTTCTCATAAAACATAAGTATTCCTAAATATGGAGACTTAAATTACTCTGTGTACATTTCATTAGTCAATAATTTATCTATCCTTTCCCCTGAGTAATAAAGCAAACTCAGGGTGAAATGATGCCTTTTTAAAATATCTGAGTTGAGGGGATGGTATCCAAGTCCTAAAGAGGTATAAAGTCTCCCATTTTTCATGCTTGGTATTATCTGGTTGTGGAGAATTGTAATGCAACTATTTTCACATTTTTCAATACTAATTTGTGTAGCAGAGCATGAACTTAGCATACTTAGCCCTCATTTGGCATGTAATTGCAAAATACTTTATCAGTAATGTGTAAGACATGATTCATGTGTTCAGAAGAAGCATGAAATAGCCCTTTTCAATTAAAAAGGGAAAGAAATGAACTTTGTTCATTTTTATTCCCTTACAGCAGGGTCAACATCCTTATCTTCTCATGTGCCTTCTTATCTGTGCTCCTGCACTCCTCCTCATCTGTGGCAGAGATGATCTGTGGAATTTCCACATCTTCCCACACAGTTGTTTGTTCCCAGAACTCCACCTTTTCCTCCACTCTTTCTTTCCAATTTTATAATCATAAATCACCTCCAGTTTCTCTGATGCTTCCTTGTGGAGGTGGTGGACTTTTTGATTCATATTGGACTGAGAACTAAGTTATAAGAAGAGGAGATTGTGGAAAACAGGAAAACTTAATGAAACACATGGCAGTAGTTCTAACAATCTATTTAAAATACCTAGTGTGATAGACTCTGCAGACACTCAGCAGTGACTGCAGAGCAGATAATTTTGAGAGCCATCATGCAACACATACAGCACCACCAGCTGATCAGGCCCAGCCAGCATTGGTTTAGGAAAGTCAGATCCTGCTTGACCAACCCAATCTACTTTTCTGACCAGATCATCTGCCTAGTGGATGTGGGAAAGGCTGTGGATATTGTCTGTCTGGACTTCAGTTGAGACTTTGACACTGTCTCCCACATCATTCTCTTGGAAAATCTGGCAGCCCATGGCTTGGACAGGACCACTCTTTGCTGGATTCAGAACTGGCTGGATGGCTGGGTCCAGAGAGTGCTGGTGAACGGTGCTGCATCCAGCTGGGGCCAGTCACCAGCGGGGTTCCCTAAAGGTATGGATAAGGAAATTGAGTGAACCTTCAGTAAGTTTCCAGACAACACCAAGTTGTGTAGGAGTGTTGATCTACTAGAGGAGAGGAAGGCTCTGTAGAGGAATCTTCATGAACTGGATGCATGAGTCAAGGTTAATGGTATGAAGTTTAATAAGGTGAAATGCACTGGACTGGGGTCACGATAGCATCAGCACTGCTAGAGGCTTAGGGAAGAGTGTCTAGAAACTGCCTGTCAGAAAAGGACCTGGGGGTGGTTGACAGTGGCTGAATATGAGCTAGCATGTGCCCGGGTGGCCAAAAAGGCCAACAGCATGCTGGCCTGTATCATGATTAGTGTGGCCAACAGGATCAGGGAAGTGATTGTCCCTCTGTACTCAGCACTGGAGAGGTTACACTTCGAGTATTTTCTCCAGTTCCCAGTCCCCCAGTTCAGGACAGCTGCTGAGTGAGTCCAGAGAAGAGCAACAAAGCTGGTGAAGAGTCTGCAGCACAAGTCCCATGAGGAGAGAATGAGGGAGCTGAGGATGTTCAGCCCGGAGAAAAGAAGGCTTGGAGGGGAACCTAATCACTTTCTACAACTATCTGAAAGGAGGGTGTCACAAGGAGCCACTTCTCTCAGGCAGCTAGTGACAGGACAATAGGAAATGGCTTCAAGCTGCGCCAGGAAAATTTCAGGCTGAGCATCACGAAGAATTTCTTCACTGGAAGAGTCATTAAACTTTGGAAAATACTGCCTGGGAAAGTAGTGGAGTTGCCATCTCTGGAAGCCTTCAAGAAATGATAGTATGTGGCACTTAGTGTTGTAGTTTAGTTGGCATGGTTGGCATAGCTAGCATGATCTTGGAGATCTTTTCCAACCTTTATGAATCTATGATTCTGTGATAGAGATCTTAGTTCTGAGAATGTATTAATCCTGGATGATTCATACACATATTTCTTCTACTTCCAGCCTTATCCTTTTATACCAATCGCAGTGCTACAATGCCTGACCGGTGGGAAGAATGATGCACAGAATTCCATGATGTCAGAAGTCTAATTGATTACTTTATTATACTAAAACTATATTATACTATATTACAGTAATACGAACTATATCACTACTAAAAAAAATCCGTGACTCTCTCTGCTGAGAGTCCTAACACAGCTGTGACCTAATTGGTCAATCATTCCAAAACACCATCACCAGAATCCAATCAAGCAATCACCTTGGGTAAACAATCTCCATAATACATTCCGCATGTGCACAACAACGAGCAGCAGCAACTGAGATAAGAATTGTTTTGCTCATTCTTTTCTCTGATTCTCTTCCAACTTCTCTCAGGAAAAATCCTGAGAAAGTTAAGTCTCTCTCTGTTCAGAGGTTATTTAATTTAAATAACCTTTCTTCCTCACGGATATTTATTCACCAGTGGTTTTATACAGGGTAATAATACCTCTACCCAACTTTTGTTCTGCTAGACCAAAAAAAACTGTATTGTTGTTATTTAGTCTTGGACAAAAGGCTTCCCTCATCATACCATCTGTCCTTCTTTGAACATCTGATTTGAAATAATCTTCTTTTAGACAGGTGAATGAAACTTTACACAGCAGTGTCCTTCCAGGCTCTTGGCATTTATGCTTCTCTGTCTTTACAGGAAATTGTTTATTAATACAGCCCACAACCATGTCTACTTCATCTGCAGCAAATGCACAACAGTAGAACACAGACACAAGCTTCAGTTACCTGCTGATCAGAAATCTGATTTCTGCTGAGTTCACATATCAGCAATAATTGTCTCAGTAGATCACTCTACTCATTTTTGAAATGCATCTGTCCCTGGGAGGAAAACTGTTTTCAAGAGAACAATAGCCCTATACAATTCTTTTGAATAAGAAACAACATTATCCAGTGAAACTTTGAGTGTTTAGCAGGAAGCACAGAGCAATAAGAGAGAACAAGTGTTTTTGTAGTTTCATTGCAATGACAAATCAAACCTAGCCATGAAGCTGAAATTCTGCAATGCATTGCCTAAAAAAATTCAACTCAAATGCATTGTATATATCCAGATATGCAAGGCAGGACCTCAGTTTTACCATAACTGAAAATGAAGATAGGCAATATCTAAGATACTCTCCAAGATACTAAGAAATACAATAGGATAAAAGATTATGTGAAGGATTTGAATGGGAAGGGAAGGGAAGGGAAGGGAAGGGAAGGGAAGGGAAGGGAAGGGAAGGGAAGGGAAGGGAAGGGAAGGGAAGGGAAGGGAAGGGAAGGGAAGGAAGGGAAGGGAAGGGAAGGGAAGGGAAGGGAAGGGAAGGGAAGGGAAGGGAAGGGAAGGGAAGGGAAGGGAAGGGAAGGGAAGGGAAGGGAAGGGAAGGGAAGGGAAGGGAAGGGGTCTATGACAAAAAATATATGCTTATAACATACTTCAGGGTACTTTATTTCACATTAGTCTCTGAAATAACTCATGTCCTCATAGTTGTTGATTTCCTCATTATATGAATAAAACTTTATTTCCATTCAGTAATTTCTCCTTCAGTACTTAGGTGTTTTACCAACCTTGTGCCATCACAATTCTGTCACTATATATTTTTAAAATAATACATTAGGTATATGCTCAAACCTCCAGCTTTCTCTTGGTATAAAAGGATTTTCAAATGCCTCATGGTTTGCATGACAGAGGGACCTCTGTGTCTCTTATGTCTCTCCCCTGTTCATTAGTAGTTCTTTCCTCTTTTTCTGGCCTGTGCTTTTTACTTTATGTTCCTCTAGATTTTGCATCTTACATTTTGACAGAGAAGAAAGCAAAACCTCTTTTGCTTTCTTCTTTCTTGCTTTCTTCTGTGCTTGTATTCTTTTACAGGTATACATTTCTGTAAAAATTTTTATATATTTTGCATAAGACAAGTGTTTGTAATTCAGATTATGGTAAGAGGTGAAAAACTTTGTACACCAAAGAATGATGTTCACATCTAGTATCATAGCTGGTGTCACAGTGTATAACACTTCTTAGCTCTCTAGGCATGCTTAAATTTACCAAACTGCCTATAAATATACTCCATGATCTTATTTTAGGTTTTTCTCTCCTCTATTTCTATCAAAGTCTCCATTTACACTTTCTACCAAGTAGAAAAAATTGCTGGATAAATTGAAATGCTATAGTGAGTGAGACAAACTTTCTTCTCTAGCTGGACACAGTTCCTCCCCATTTTCACAGTGTTGGATAGCTGTGGATTAGTATACAAGCTGCTTTATCTGTGTTTTTTGTAAGCTATGCCACTGACCTCTACTGTCTGACATCCTCCAGCTCTGATTTTCCAGCTGCACAAAGATATTTTGGCTGCCTTATATTTGTGTCATACACCTAGATGGATTGAGAACATTAGAGACTAAAGAACAGATCTCAAATCCTGCACATCACTTAGACCACTCCCTTGATTGTCATCACTTACTCTACTACAAGGCACATATATTTTCATTTTCATCCTTCTGAATATGTTTTCGGATTTCTTTCTCCCCTCTCCTGTCAATTCCTTTCAATTGGCCATTTAAGGAGCTCATTTACACTGCTGTTTCTCTCAGCCATCATTGCTTTTTTTTTTGACCCATATGACTGACAGAAAGCAAAGTGTTTTGTGATCATATATACCAAAGGTGGACCATAAAAAAAAAGGCTGGAATGTTATCTTATTATGTAAACTTGCTCAAGCAGTACCTTCTTTCACTAATAATGATGGGATTCATGTTATATAAGCAAGGAAATTAATGTTTTAAACTTCATAAGACATCATCTTTATGATACATTAACTGTATTAGATTTTAATAAAAACTTTGCTAATAAATAAAGAACTAGGATATTTGGACACAAACATTATTTTTATTATGTGAAATGTCATCAATTACAATTTGGGGTTAGTTTTCATGTTTGGGGAGGTTTTTGTTCCTTTTATTTATTTATTTATTTATTTTATTATGGGAGAGCTTTTAAAATACCTCTGCTAAGGGAAATAAACAGATCTTTGTCAATTCATGGCATAATGATATGAGCTTAAGCTGTACTGAATAACTATTTTAGAATGTCTGAATTCAGTTGAACACTGTCTTTACAGTGAGTTTGGTATAATTATTTAATTAATGGAAATGAAGTATTGCTGCACTGAAGGGTTTGAATAGGTGTTGAAGAACACTGGGGGGTTAGGCCCATGGCTTGGCTGCAGCTCAGGGTAATTCACATATTTGAATAATGAAATGGTGAATTTTCATTGCTTGTCTCTCTTTTCCTTTTTTCAGCTTTGTAACATGATGGAACCAAAGAAATCTCTCTTCTACCAGACAGTAAGAACCTAGGTTGCTGGCACAACATGTCAACTGCATAAAACCCCTTAAAATAAAGGTGGCTCATTTCCAAGTAAACTTTTTTGGCATTTGGGTTTTTTCCTATGTTTTCATAGAAAGGACTGGCAAAAAATGGCTTGTGGGAGGTTTTGTAATCAATAAACCAACAGGTTGTAGAGGGATTATGAATCAGACATTCATGCTAAGCAGGTGAGAAATGTACACCAGCATTTCTTAATTTTAAAAATATGAAAATCTCTAGAAGTACATAAAAGTGTTAAAGGCCCTATTTAGAAAGGATCTGCTTAGCTAAGAATTGGTTGCTAGGATTGTCACAAAGTTGTTTCCAAATCTGCTTCACTGAAATGCTAACTGGGTGAAAAACATGTTCTTAATGTTAAATGGACTGCCTAGGATTAAGCTGCACACTTTCCATTGAATCAAATGAGGCCTGTGTAGTTAAATTTGAATTCAGTCCTTTGGAAACACTCATTGTGCATCACGAATACACCAATGTTTCAAGTACAGAAGAAGAAAAACCCCTGCTTTTAAGTAACAAAGGTGTGACTCAGCAAACAAAACAAAAAAAGTCCCCCAAAACCCCCAAACAAAGCAAACCCCAAAAAACCTCCCCAAAACAAACAAAATACAACCCCACCCCAAACTCCCAGAAACCATCTAATTCCAGTAACTCTGTAGTACCTCAAATCTGTGACCTCCTCTTGCATAAGAACAAAAGTATATCAATAGTAATGATGCTATGCTAACTGGTGCTTGAAGACAATAAAGCCCATTATATTGAGGTGTTGACCATCTTTCATTTCATCATATTAAAATTAATCTACTAGAGACATTGTGAAGTTGTTAGAGATGTAGATCTTTCTTGGATGCAACAAAAAACAACATCAGTGACTTTTCTGGGTCCTATAAAGATCCAAAGACTGTATTTTAGGATGTATCCTATCTGATTTAAATGCTTATCACTTTGTTCAGTGTTGGAAAGCAGAAGAAAATGCCAAGGGAATATGTTCACTTGGGAGCTGTTTGCTGAGTGACTTTCATCCAAATCTCCACATGCTATGTGGAAAAGGGCACTGGGGATTTGCCTTTTATCTTGAAATTCAGGGTTAGAGCCCTAGCCAGAAGAGCTGGAGCTGGGATTAAAGACAATTATACTCAGCATCAAACAAGGCAGGAATCCTCACTGTGGTCACATACACACCCCAACAGACAGAGTAATCAAGGTCGTTAATGGAGGCAAAAAAAAACCCCAAAACAAACAAAAAACCCAAAAAACTGTCAAAAAGTCAGTCTTCTTCCCCTTTGGAGACAGAGCCCATTTAATCTACATGGAAAGAAGTCCCCACCATTGTGTGCCTGTAAAGAGAAACAGACTAGGCAAAACAGAGGTGATTGTGCAATAAACTGGAGTATGTTCCCTGTGAGATTCCACTGATCAGGTTATGTGATTCTGTTGCTCACAAACATCACAGGTTCCAACTTCATTGGCTGCTGTGTAGCATGGAAGCTCTGATGTCCTGGAACACACCAAGGGAATATGCCACTGCCATATAATGTCAACATACTGGGATCCTTAACTCTGATACAAGATAGGCAAGCGTTTTAAGTCTGCAAAGATACATGCCAAGGAAGTAGGAAGAACTGGATGTGCAATCACAGGAGTTCAGCTGAAGTGCATGTTGGACCCCTGCCTGTGTGTTATGAGTCCCATCCATAGGGAACCATCATATGGAAAAGATTCTTACTTATAACCACTCAGCAAATTTCAACAGACAAGTACTCCATGCTAACAATTCTAGACCCAGTCCTAAGTGGAAGAAATTCTTCACATTGTCTGGGGATTTAAATTTGATAGCCTGTTTCTTGAGCAGTCTCTAGTGAGTTTTTTGTATTGGATATGTGCTCACTGATTCATTTCTAAAATTGTGCAATTCACAGAAATGTGTGTTTTGTTAGTCCTGCTGGGACTTAATTTTGAACAGTTCAGCAGTTCAGATGGGTATAGATCTGGCCACTAGAAAAAAAATGGGAATTGAAGTGCTCAGTGGTCTAACCAGGGATATCATCAATAATAGGACACATGAATGTGAGGCTTAAAAAAATAGAAATATATTGATATGTTTATGGTCATATCCACCACAGAATGTAGTGCAGTTTTGAGACCCTCAAATTAATTCAGACTCAGACATAAATACAGTCAGGGTGCTTTCAAACCAAAATTTTTATTCAGAGCCAGAAGAGATGTCCCTTCAGTGTGTCTTTCCTTAGTTTTGCCAAGGACCAACAGAAACAACAGTCCAGTGTCTCATTTGGGACTACAGCCCCCCCCCCCCCATTTTCTCCTGGGGCCAAGGATCCAAGAACAGAGATCTCCTTCTCTTCTTCTCTGAAGATGGAGGGCATCATCACACCCTCCTCAGTTTTTCTCTGTCCATTTCTGAACTGGCAGTTACTGAAGGAGTTTCTTGGCTCACCATCGCATCCCCCTAAAATGCAGTCCCTCTTGAAAGGAGTGGTTCGGTCTATAGTTAACAAGAAGAGTACAGCCAAAAGCCACTCCACCATCTCCCCCCAAAGGGAAAATGGGGGGGACTCTAGTCCCGAAATGCGATACTGGACTGTTGTTCCTGGTGGTCCTTGGCAAAGCATCCTTAAAGGGGCCCTATAAGCAGTCTCTGTCCATGCCCGGTGGTGAGAGCACTGTGACATGGAGAGGAGAGTGTCACACTGGCCTGTGTGTCTGGGCGGTGCCACGTGTGACATGGAAACACAAGAGGTGGAAGCTGTGTTTCCTGGGGGTCTATGGTGCAAGGGGGGACTCCTCTCTTCCCCGATGGACTCAGTATTGATTATATTGAAGGGTGAATACTTGATTAAGGATCCAAAGGGGTCTCGCTGTGGTTTGTTGGAGTTGGGTGGTGGGAGGAGGAATGTTTTGGAAGCTTTTAATTTTTAATTTTGTGTGGTTTTTTTTTCTTTCTTTTTTCTTTTATAGTAGTAGTAGTAGTAGTGTACTAAAGTTTTTCCTTTGTTATTAAGTTTGGCCTGCTTTGCTCTGTTCTCGATCGCATTTCACAGCATTCAATTGATATGTTGCATTTTCAGGGTGCGCTGGCATTGTGCCAGTGTCAAACCATGACACACTGTTAGTCTATGTGGAGCTAGAACTTTGCAACAAAGCCCATGGAACACAAAGAAATACTGTGAATAATTGAAAAAGTAAATTGGAACACCCAGTCTGCCTACTTGTGCTTTCAACATAAATCCATTTTACATGATAACTGGATTAAAAAATTAAACCTATTCGCATTATGATCTTTGTATCTTTTTCATGAAACAGCCTAGCATTTTTCCATAAAACTGCACTGGCTTTTTTTGTTTTTGGGAGGGGGGATAAACATAATTTTATCTAATCATATAGTTAAATTATTTACTGCTACTAGTGTTCCTAGAAACTTTAATGAATATCAAGAGTGAAGGTACAAATTGCAGGGCAATTAAGAACTCATAAATATTAATGTGGGATTATAATTTGTGAGAGAGTGGAATTCCTTGTGATGCCACAAGCTCAAGATACTGCAAAACTTTTTATAAAATTTTGGAAAAGGGGATCTATAAAAAGATAAATGTTTCTCTGATTCTGAGACCTTTTAATGTAGGGCTTTTGTTACAAGAATTGAAAAACTTTAACTATCCAGCTGAAGTCCTACTGCCATGAAATTGGTGCCATTGGTTGGATGAAGTGAATGTTGCTGAGCATAGAGGTCTGTGGCAGAAGAGTAAATGGTGCTTCAGCCCTTGTGATTTATGAGTTAATGACAATATGTAACTGGATTTTTGATTCTCTTCAGAAAGTGCATCAAGTTAAGGAAGAAAGAGCCAATACAGAATCGCTGACTGAGTTAAGAAGTGTATTATACAGGCAGAATACATTGAAATAATTTATCTCAAAATACTATCCAGAATGAAACCCTATAAGGAGAGTAACACTTAAAAAAGCTGACATGAAGAAGCAGTCATCTTAGGCACTGTACATAATTCATACTTAACACATCTCAGCATCATTTATTTGTCAGATGAAAACTACTTCTTAAATCTGCTTCATACTGGGGAAAAAGCTCACCAGGACTACAGTCCTCTTAAGGAAGTTTAATTACTAATCAGCTACTATTTCCTGCTTAGAAGGGCTGCTTGGACACACACACACACACACAAATCTGTCCTGCCTCAGTTTCATTGTGAGGTGAGATTTGGGCGCTTTTGTCTATGTGTTCTGGAATCACAGAATCACAGAACAGATAAAGTTGGAAGGGACCACTGGAGGTTATCTAGTCCAAATCCCTGCTCATGCAGGGTCCCCAAGATTGTGTCCAGGTGAAATTTGAATATCTCCAGAGATATTAAAAATATAAAAAGTACAAGACGATTTGATAAAGCTGTATTTCAGTATGTGCCCTGAAAAGAGGACCAGAACCAGAAATGAAAAAAAAACCCCAAACGCATAAGTCAGTAAATGTTGACACATTTAGGCACTGACTTGTTAACTTGGCTAAATAATTTTCATGCAGTCTTGTCCATATTGGTGTTGGAAGTAAACAGTCCAAGGCAGGGATGGGAGAGAGGACTCTGGTGTGGCAGTTTGAATAATTAGGCATCTTTTTCCCTGGGCTGTGGTATTTTAGCAGCATAGACATTCTTTTCAGGGATTGGAAGCAGAGAAGGGGGACTGGTTGGTCTGTGTACTTTCATGAAGGATGAAAGATGATACTGGTTCTACAATAGCTCTTGTGTAGTATTTGGCATGATGGTCTAGGCCTACAGATATTGTTGTGATATTGCTAAATAATTTAGCTATGCTGCAGCTCCTAAAAAGAACTCTAGGAAGCAGATTTATCTAGGTTTAGCAGACCAATATGGGAAATTTGAGCTCAAATCTTAGCATACTTATAAACAAAAATATTTTTACTGGATTAAATGTGAATCTGTCAGCAGGTTCACAGTTCTGTGAAGTCCTTTAGGTTTGGGTTTTTTTTAAGGTTTATACTATTTTTTAATCT